GTTTTTAAGAAATAAATAAAAGTTTGGTTAGGAAAACCAAAACTGGTTTTGGATGTTTTTGCTACGAGTTTCTAAGCTAGAGACTTGAAACTTATAGAATATGTGTAAAACTGTGAGAGGAGCAGTTTTTCTTAAGCAGTGGAGGTATATTTCTTTAATAAATTATTGAGATATGGGCGATTTTATGATGCACGAATTTTTATTTAAGTTTGTGTAAGGGATTTACGGAAAGAGTTTTTGATTTTTTTTATTATAAATTTTAAGTATTAAATTTTACTAATTAAATATAAAAATATTTTAAGAATATTTCTAACTATAGCTAGTGGTGATCATCACCACCCTTTTTATGTAATCAAAAATTAGTGCTATGATCTATATCATGTGACCACGAACCAACCAATCAAAATAAATATATGTATATATATTACGGATCAAATTGATTTTTAGATTGAGTTAAACTTTACTTGGATCAAACTGATCAATTAAAAAACCCAACTGGCATCAATATAATTCTGGCCTGCCCTAACCCTAAAATTCTGCTAGGAATCAATTTGACCCGGGTCAAGTTTAACTTGATCTAAAAACCAATTTGACCCATAATAGTACAAATATCATAATTACGAAATTCTTTTATTGATAGAGTAATTAATTCAAATACATCATCATTATATATACAAATACTACTACTATAAATAAATATTTATTAACCCTCATATAATTGCATAGTGCAAATACCACGGTTACATACATTGTATAGTTGTTTGTGCTAAGCAACACATCAAAATTTGCTTTGTCCATTCTACAATCGCTCACTTTGGCTATTACTTCCGCTTCACTACTTTTTTCTAGCTTCTTAGTCTAATATAATTCAACCTATATTCTAACAAACCTAAAACTAATTCGTTAAAACAACAGACACAATATTAAGTACACTGTGACAAATATTTAGCCCCAACGAACTATTCTAATAACTATCTTAACAACACCTGTTACCTAAAAAGAAAGGTTAGTTAGTGCTTCTAGAACACAATATTAAAACAAAAAAAAAACCAAAAATGAATACTTAGCTTCAAAGTCCAATTCGACATACAAAATACACAATAAATTATTAGCACGATATTAAAGCAACGAACACAATGATATATACAATGTGAAAAATATTCAGCACCAATAACGAAAATATTCTAGTAACTTAATGATATTCACACCTGAAAAGAAAAGTTAATTAGTACTACAAAATACAATACTGAAAGCAAAAAAAAAATACTTAGCCCAAGTTCAATTCGATATATCAACAGTACAGTGAATCACACCAGCACTATGAATGAACGAATTTCAGTAACCTATTCCTAATGACACTTGTTATCTGAAAAGAAGCTAAAAAGATGAACTAGTTAGTACTATGAAACTACAATACTGAAACAAGAAAAAAAAATTGGAAAATGAATACTTAGCTTCAATACAACTAAGTGTTTCGGTAAAAATTAAACAACAGCAACAACTTCAAGACAAATGATAGCTCAGAATGATGACTTCAAGACAAACAATAGCTCAGAATAACGTCTCAAAGACAAATGACGGCTTATAATGGTGACTCTAAGACAAACGACAGTTCAAAATGACTACTCTATGACAAATGACGACCCCAGGTGAATGACAACTCCAAGATAAACGATAGCTCTAGTAACAAACAACGACTCAAGACAAATAGTGACTTCAGGAACTAATGATGACTCCAGGCAAACGATGAGTTCAAAAACAAATAATTGCTCCAGAAACAAACAACAACTTCAGGAATGACGATTTCAAAAAGTTCTAAAAAAAAAATAAAAATTAAATCACAATCAGATCAAAAATTTTTATTTATTTAATTTAACATTATACGTGATCTTATCGTAAAATGTGGTGATCATCACCATAGGTGATTTTAATTATAAATCATATTTTAAATTTATTTTTTAATACTTTAATAATATATACTTAAATATTTACAAATTTGCAAAAACAAAAATTAACAAAAATTAACAAACAAATATACAAAGGTTATTAGAAAATCAAACTTGTAGCTTAATATTTATTCTCTTAAAAGACTTAAGCAAAAAGAGCAAAAATAGCAAAGATATAGAAAAAACTATAAATAATTTTGCTTTTTGTAAATTTTTTAAAGATTTAATCTTAATCTTATAATGCAGATTTATTTTAGTAATACAAAATTTACAATATATATAACAGATTAAAATAAAATTAGATTAAACAAATTTTTTTAATTTTTAAGAAAATTTAAAATTTTTTAAGAAATATTTTTTGAGATTTTTTTAGTATTAGAGATCAAATTTAGAGTTGGAGTTATTAAAAAAGAGTATATGTAAATTTTATAAACTTTAAGGGTGAGCAAGAAAAATTACTAATTTTATTTTAATCTGATTTCATTTTAATCTGCAATATATAATGAGAAATAAATAAAGAAAACATGTCAAAAACTACATAATAAATAAAAATAAAGAAGATATACAAATACAACAAACAACAAATCATATAAAGCAAACAATAGTAAAAAATTTTAGAAAATAGTTTATAATAACAGAAGAAGCAAAAATATAACTAAGAGTATTCTACAAAAAAAAAGATAATATAAGTCAGAAAAACTCTACTATACAGAACTTATACTTAAAAAAAACAATATAAATTATCAAGAAGCATAGCTTCTGCTGACGAAGTGAAAGATAGTTGGGTTAAAAAAGAACAACAAGCAAGTTTTTGAATGCACTCCCTATTGAAGTTTAAGGCTACTCGCAAATTAAAACCTTTTATAATACCCCACTTTTAGCTCTTTACGAAATTTTACCAAAAAGTAGAAAATCTGGCAGATCTTCATCAAAAGATTGACAACAACAATCACTACCAAAAAAAGAAATATATATAAATATGTATATATATACTTTAGGATGAATAATATATGATCGTATTACCTCAAGAGGTTGCAGTATTTACACTAAGTGCTTTAGCATATTAACTTTGCCCAGAAATAAAGTACGTGAATACATTGCAGGATGCTGGATGAAGACTCATTAGAACCACAAGAAATTTTGAACTTGGATTTCTACTCAAGAATAGATATTTTATATATTCTAATATAGGTATAAATAACTAGCATAGAGTTTAGACTAGTTTTTAGTAGCACTATATAATTTTTACAGTCTGGTATAGGCTTAATAGTGCTATCTTTTGTTTTTTTGTTTTTTTTGTTTTGTTTCTTTATTTTTGTTTTTGGTTTTATTTGTCTTAGTTAGGTTGGACTTTATTGATATGTTTTTTTCTTTTTGTTTTATTTTGCCCTTTAATTTTGTGTATGTGTTCTAATTTCTAAAAAGAAAAGCCAACATCGAGATGAGTGGCTTGTAGTTATTAGCTAAGAATTGAAAAAAAAAAAGCCCTTATTGTTAAGGACCCAGATTGAGGCCAATGACTACTGAAGCAGGCCACATTGGGTGAAAGCTTGGTGAGCTATAGTTCTGGTGGATCAATATAGCTAGAAAAGAAATTTTTTGTAATTTGTCAAATAGTTATGATCTCAATAAACGATAGCAGGCAGCTGAATTATAAAAAAAAAAAAAAATAACAAGCTGCTAAGTATATAAAATCTAAGTTAGAATCAGGATGAAACAAAAAACTTCAAGAACAAAGAAGAAATTAACAGAAACAATATATTGAAAACACTAGTATAATAATTTAGAGAATATATCAAAACTTTCACAACAAAGCAATATAAAGAGAAGAAAAAAATCAAAGAATAAAAAAAAGATACAAGTTCAAAAAAAAACAAAATTATAAAAAGAAAATAACAAGGAATTTAAAAGAAAGAGTTAATATATATATCATCTCTGTAGGTTTTCTTATATACTATTTCTAGATAATTGTTACTATTTTTGAAGATAATCGATTTGCAAAATTAATAAGTATTTTTTTTGTTGTCTAATGAATCTTTTACGAACTGAAATTGAAAAAAGATGGCTAATAGAAGCTTGTTCTATACCTGAAAAAGCTTTTGAAGAAGTTTCTAAGTTATGCGTTGGGATGCAATTTGAAAATTAGAATTATGTTGATCTAGTTCTATTGGTATATGAATAACAAAAAGGTTTTACATAGAGGATTGAAAACAAGTATCTTAATAAAAATAGTGGTATTTACAAATATGTGTTTGAATGTCACCATGCTAGAAAATATTAACTAAATAAAAGTGCAACAAACTCTTCTCAACAATGTAATCGAAAATCTGTCAAAACTGATTATACCTGTTTTGCCAATATATGTTGGCTATTAAATTCCCTAGACCCAACTATTACTAAGTTGAATCTCACATATTATGGTCATGAATTAAATCTTGATATAGTAATCTTTATGAATATATAGTATATAGACAATTCTCTTAAAATGTAATAGATAAAATTGAGTTCTAAATTAAAACTGTTCATAGAATTAATCAACAGACATTAAAACAACTATTACAAAGTGAGTTTACTAATCAACTATTCTTAAACCAAGATTTAGCTAATGCTATTCAGTATTTTCAAAGGGCTGATGTGATGGATTCTAAGAATTATCCTAAAATAATACATCAAACTTATTTAAAATTTTATGAAAGATGAAAAAAAATAACCTGCATAGTATATATCTGAACATTGTATTAAAAATCAGCTTTATTATTTATTTTGGATGATACTTATTCAACAAGATATTTATATAAAATATCATAATATAATCTTGACCAATAATACAGTATATATAAACAAGTATTGCTTATCATTATATTTTTTTGTGAGTGTAGATAAATATTGGTATTCAAAACTGGTTGCTCAGGTGTTAATATCTGATGAAACAACAACATTATATATATAGGTTCTAAATAACCTTTTTAAAGCAACAAATCATTTGATGCCAATTACAATATTTTCTAATAGCGATGTTGAGTTAAGACTAGCAATAGAAACTGTTCTTCCTAATATACAACATCTAAATTATATCTTTCATATTTTTCAAAAATATTAAAAAGCATTTAATATGTCCTTTGGGTTCTCAATTTAGTGAATTTCAGAATGATTTTTTTTCTTGCTATAATATACTATTTCAGAAGATTTTTGAGTCATGATTTGAATCACTATATACAAAATATCTTGAGGTATCATCATACTTAAAAAGTAGTTTGTATCCAATTAAGACTCGATAAGCAAAATGTTTTACCTTTTAGATATGAATTAAACACAAATTATTACTATAGAGATTATATAATAAATTATTTCTTTATATATAAAAAAGTTTTATTAAACACTATATTATAAGTTGTATATATTAGAGACTATATATAATAAATTTAGAAAACTCCTATTTCTATATAGAAGTTTATTATTTTTACTATTTTTTTCATATGATTTTTAGCTGTATAAATATAATGATCAAATACTAAAATACTGTTATTATTATTAAACATATTTATATAAAGGAGTTTAATACTAGAATATCATCTACCTAGTATGTGAAATCAATCAATATGGTAGTTCATCAGCATATTAATTTGCATTCAACCTTAATAGAATTTTTTAATAGTATACAAGAAATATTATATCAGAATTGCAAAAATCTAAATATCATAACTATTTGAATAGTTTACCTTTTAATACTGTATTATTGTTATCAGCAAATTAGATTTTTCTGAAGTTAGTTAAATCTTTAAGGTCAATTTTGACGGATAGGATTTTTAAAATTCAGAAGGCTCAAATTGATATTTGTTTTGAATATTTTTTATCAATAGTTCCTGATAATTTGTACTCTTCATATAATAAAGTAAAACTAATACAGTCATCCCTTATTAATATTAATCTTGTTGATATCAATCTAAACTATAAAATGAATTTCTATATATTAAATTATATTAAAATTTCCTTATATATATCAATTTTAATATGATTTCTCATTAATATTACTATCAACTTGAATATAAAGACGATCCAAATGAGTTGATATAAATGAGAGACAACTGTAATATATTGTATTGATTTATATTTAAAAATTAGAACAATTTTAGATCTATTCAAATGGTAATAACTTAGAATTATTAATGAATTTTTTTAGCCTGATTCAAGTGATTTTTCTGTTTGTTTTGAGGATATTGTAAATAAATCTCAAATTGCATTTTGATTTGTTATAAAACATATTAATATCATGAATATTATAGAAATTTAAGAAGTTTGACATATGTCAACTACTTCAACTTCACTAAATTATGTCTTACTTCTCAAAGATTATTCACATATTTGTATCTGTCTGCTTCTATTTAACGAGGGTCTTGTCTGATAACATTTTTTCCAGATAATATTAAAAATATATAATGCAGTTTTTTCTCTTTCATTAATAAAAAATTTTTAGTACAAAAAAAATATTAATTTACATGATGTTAATACTATGTTTAATTATTCTGAAATATCAGTTGAAGTGAATAATACAAGTATCAGGTTGTCTCAAATGCCTATAAATAAAATTTGAAATCTTCGACAAGATAATCTAAATAAAGATTCTGAAATTGATTTGATAACCAAAAGATGGCAAATTTATAGAGAATGCATAGCATTAGGAAAGAAATTAGCAACACTAGTCATTGACTTTAATCTAACGCATATTTTAGCAACATTGCAAGATTTAATACAACAAGTTGAAGAATCTAATATTGTTTTAACAAATAATACAAATGGTCAAATCATTAAAAATCTATTAAAAGCTATTATACATGAACAACCACATAAGAGATTAAAGTTAGCTATTGAAAAAAATTCAAAAACTTTTAGCAAAAAAACCAAAACTTTAAATGAAAATTATGTATGCCAAAATTGTTATCAGAATAGTCATAATTCATGAAGCTGTGTTGTGCTATATAAAATTTGCAAAGAAGGTAGTCATATATATTTGTATTGTTTAAACAAGGAAAATATATAGTTAGATTTTAGTTTATTATATAATAAGAATCAAGTGCATACTAGTATTTTTTTTAAATAAAATAATCTTTGAATAGTATTTTTTAAATAATACTGTAGTATCTAATAATACTATTATATTTGAATTTGAATTTAGCATCTGCTTGAAGTTGCAATTTCAAACATCTGAAGTTCGAATCTGCTTAAAATAACTATTGCATATGACCAAAGCTCGATATAAGAAGTTTATATTCTCTTTCATTATATGAAAATATTTGATTATTAGAAGACAAAATTTATATGTTCAAACATATTTATAGATCAAGCTTGAGATAATGAATTTTTATATAGTAAATATTCTGAAATATTGTATTTGAATATACAAATTTTGTCTATTAATAATTGAATATTTTTTATATAGCAATCAGAATATAAATTTCATTATATTATGCTTTAACTATATATAATACAAAAATTTGTTATTGCACTAATTTTGGTTAGTACAAGTATCTAAAATTAAGACTAAACAAATACTGCAGTATATATCATATTGCTTACAATTTTCCAAACAAAAAAATATTTATTGTCATCTGGTAATTAATACATTTTTTGCTAGATTTTAGACTTTGTATATATACACATTTTATAAAATCTTATATAATTAATCAAGCACAGATTTTATTATCTAATTTTAACCAAGAATATTATTTTCATATTTACTGTTTTCTATATAGCATAAAAGACTTTTCATATTATTAATTCACATTATTAATTTATAAGTTTAATTAATATATGATTAAAGCTTTATTCTTTATTACTGTAGATTTCTAATTATTACAACTCTATAAATAATTTTACCAACTAGACTTCTAAATTAGAATATTAATCTTATAAATTTTAACAGAAACTTAAATTCAAGTTACTGATTTATAGAAGCACAATACTTGCTATTACTTTTACTAAAAACATGCTGCAATTTTAGTTCATATAATATAAATATTAAGTATATTAAAAATATCGTATATAAAAGAAGTTCTTTTGAGATTTAGTATATACTTATATAAATGCTAATCCTAACTATTTAAGCTTTATTAAGCATTTTGAAGTAAACTTTTGGCTATTAATTATTAATTTTACATAAAGATCTAAAAAAATTTAAGATTTAAAATTGATAACTTCAAATAATATTATTTTGCTAACTGCAACTATCTTTTAATGTAAATTCAAGTAACTGATAATGAATTATACTATATAGTAAGATAAAATGAAAATTAATTTTCTTTCAAAGCCAAAAATTAAATTTTTATTGTGTAATATTATGCTTTTTAAAAGTTGTACATGTATATATCAATATATATATATATAAATGTATATACAACAATTAATTTATATAGTTTCATTTTGATTAGCTAGTTTCATACATATTGTGCTATATGAGATTATGGATATATTATGCATATGAGATTGTACAAATAATATATTTATATAATTTATCACGTGATTTATATTTAACCTATATAGGGATAGTATATAAGAAAACTTAAAGGGATAATATATATATTAACTCTTATTAAATTAATACTGATAAAGTTAAAAAAAAAATTATTATAATACAATAGTAAATTTTCTTGAATTTAATAATAAATAAAAAGTACTTTATTTTGTGAGCAAAGTTTTTTTTGATTTTTAACAACTGCCCTATCTTGTTTAATACATTGGGGTGCATCAAGTATAACACAAGTTCGTATAAAGCTTATTTCTACGTTATAAATACAAAGTAAAATTTTAAATATATTATATAATTTATAAAATTGAAAATTTTACTTTGTATTCATAACACAGAAAAAGTTTTTTTTATATGAACCTGGGTTACACTAATGCATTTTTGATATACAAAATAAGGTAGAGCAGCTATTAAAAATCAAACAAGACCTCTGCTTATTTTGTAGACTAAAGTACCTGCATGATGCAAATTTTTTGTATATAAAATATTAAATATCACATTATATTAATATACAAGAATTCAAGAAGATTTATACTATTTATTACAAAGGGTACTTTGATTCATAAAAATAGTAATTTTTTATGAATTTAAATAGTTTAATAAACAAATCATGAGTCACCTAAACGAATATTTTTTTTAAGTTAATATATATACTATTCCCGTAAGTTTTCTTATATATCATCTCTATATAGGTTAAATATAAATCATATGATAAATTATATAAATATATTATTTGTACAACCTCATATGCATAACATACTATGATCTCATATAATACAATATACATGAGACTAGCTAATCAAAATAAAACTATATAAATTAATTGTCGTATATATATCTATACGTATATATATCAATATATATACTTACAACTTTTAAAAAGCATAATATTACACAATAAAATTTTAATTTTTGGCTTTGAAAGAATATAAATTCTCATTTCATCTTATTGCATAGTATAATTCATTATCAGTTACTTGAATTTATATTAAAAAATGGTTGTAGTTGACAAAATAATATCATTTGAAGTTGTTAATTTTAAATCTTAAATTTTTTCAGATCTTTATGTAAAATTAATAATTAATAGCCAAAAGTTTACTTTAAAATACTTAATAAAGCTTAAATAGTTAGAATTAGTATTTATATAAATATATACTAAATCTTAAAAGAACTTCTTTTATATATGATATTTTTAATATACTTAATATTTATATTATATAAATGAAAATTGCAGTATGTCTTTAGTAAAAGTAATAGCAAGTATTGCGTCTCTATAAATCAGTAACTTGAATTTAAATTTCTGTTAAAATTCATGAGATTAATATTCTAATTTAGAAGCTTAGTTGGTAAAATTATTTATAGAGTTGTAATAATTAGAAATCTATAGTAATAAAGAATAAAGCTTTAATCGTATATTAATTAAACTTATGAATTAATAATATAAATTAATAATATGAAAAGTCTTTTATGCTATATAGAAAACAGTAAATATGAAAGTAATATTCTTGGTTGAAATTAGATAATAAAATCTGCACTTGATTAATTATATAAGATTTTATAAAATGTGTATATATACAAAGTCTAAAATCTAGCAAGAAATGTATTAATTACCAGATGATAATAAATATTTTTTTGTTTAGAAAATTGTAAGCAATATGGTATATACTGCAGTATTTGCTTAGTCTCAATTTTAGATATTTGTACTAACCAAAATTAGTGCAATAACAAATTTTTGTATTATATATAGTTAAAGCTTAATATAACAAATTTTATATTTTGATTGCTATATAAAAAATATTCAATCATTAATAGACAAAATTTGTATGTTCAAATGCAATATTTTAGAATATTTATTATATAAAAATTTATTATCTCAAGCTTGATCTATAAATATGTTTGAACATATAAATTTTGTCTTCTGATAATCAAATATTTTCATATAATGAAGAAGAATATAAACTTTTTATATCGAGCTTTGGTCATATGCAATAGTTATTTTAAGCAGATTTGAACTTCAAGTACTTGAAATTGCAACTTTAAGCAAATGCTAAATTCAAATTCAAATATAATAGTTTTATTAGATACTACAGTATTATTTAAAAAATGCTATTTAAAGATTATATTATTTAAAAAAATATTAGCATGCACTTAATTCTTATTATATAATAAACTAAAATCTAACTACATATTTTTCTTGTTTAAACAATACAAATATATATGACTACCTTCTTTGCAAATTTTACATGCCGCAACACAGCTTCATGAATTATGACTATTCTGATAACAATTTTGGCATATATAATTCTCATTTAAAGTTTTAGTTTTTTTGCTAGAGGTTTTTGAATTTTCTTCAACAGCTAACTTTAATCTCTTACGTGGTTATCTACATGTAATAGCTTTTAATAAATTTTCAATGATTTGATCATTTGTATTATTAAATCTTCTTTAGTATAGGTAGGCATATATAAATTATTACAAGATTATAATATATAAAACTTAACTAATTTGAGCTAATTTAAATTCTAATCTTAACTCTAACTCTAAAAATTTATAAAATTACTTAAATTAGTTCAAAATAGTTAATTTATATATATTATAATTGAATAATAATTATATATACCCACCTATACTAAAGATTAACCATATTATTTGTTGAAACAATATTAGATTTTTCAACTTGTTGTATTAAACCTTGCAATGTTGCTGAAATATGTGTTAGATTAAAGTCAGTGACCAGTATTGCTAATTTCTTTCCTAATGCTGTACATTCTCTATAAATTTGCCATCTTGTAGTTATCAAATCAATTTTAGGATTTTTATTTAGATTATCTTGTTAAAGATTTCAAATTTCATTTATAAGCATTTGAGACAACCCGATACTTGTACTATTCACTTCAATTGACACTTCAGAATAATTAAACATAGTATTGATATCATATAAATCAACATTTTTTTTGTATTTATTAATAAAAGAGAAAAAACTGCATTATGTCTTTAACATTATCTGAAAAAAATATTAGCAGACAAGACCCTTGCTAAATAGAAGCAAGCAGGTTCAAATATGTAAATAATCTTTGAGAAGTAAGATATAATTTAGTGAAGTTGAAGTAGTTGACATATATCAAACTTTTCAAATTTCTATAATATTCGTGATATTAATACATTCTATAACAAATCAAAGTACAATTTGAGATTTATCTACAACATCCTCAAGACAAACAGAAAAATCACTTGAATCAAACTAAAAAAAATTATTAATAATTTTAAGTTATTATTAGGTTTACCTTATTACATAAAGAGTACAAATTATTAGAAACTATTGATGAAAAATATTCAAAACAAATGTTAATTTAAGCTTTCTGGATTTTAAAAATCCTATTTGTCAAAATTGACCTTAAAGATTTAACTAACTTTGGAAAAATCTGATTTGCTAATGATAATAATATAGTATTAAAAGGTAAACTATTTAAATAGTTACAATATTTAGATTTTTGCAATTCTGATACTAATATTTCTTGCATACTATTAAAAAATTCTATCAAGGTCAAATACAAATTAACATGCTGATAAACTACCATATTGATTAATTTCATGTACTGGATAGATAATATTCCAGTATTAAACTCCTTTATATAAATATATTTAATAATAATAACAGTATTTTAGTATTTGATCATTGTATTTATATAGCTAAAAATCATATAAAAAAAATAATAGAAATAATAAATTTTCATATAGAAATAGGAGTTTTCTAAATTTATTATATATAGTTCTTTAATATATACAACTTATAATATAGTGTTTAATTGGTTTAGGCTGCAGATAAATTAGTCTGAGTTTCTTTTCTTGCTATCTTAGGATATAAAATTTAAATAGATTCTTTTTTTTGTAAGGATTTTCTTTTTATTGTAGAAGAATTAAATTAAATTTTAATAAAGTCAGAGATATGGTCTCACTATTAATATTTAAAAAAAAATAATACAGTGCTTAATAAAAATTTTTTACATATAAAGAAGTAATTTATTATATAATCTCTATAGTAATAATTTGTGTTTAATTCATACCTGAAAGGTAAAACATTTTGCCTATCAAGTTTTAATTAGATACAAGCTATTTCTTAAGTATGATGATGCCTCAGGATATTTTGTATATAGTGATTCAAATCACGACTCAAAAACCTTCTGAAATAGTGTATTATGGCAAGAAAAAAATTATTCTAAAATTCACTAAATTGAGAACCCAAAAAATATATTAAATGCTTCTTAATATTTTAAAAAATATGAAAGATACAATTTAGGTATCATGTATTAGAAAGAACAGTTTCTATTGCTAGTTCTAACCCAATATTGCTATCAGAAAATATTGTGATTGGCATCAAATGATTTGTTGCTTTAAGAAGATTATTTAAAATCTATTTATATAATATTGTTGTTTCATTAGATATTAATACTTGAGCAACCAGTCTTAAATGCTAATATTCATCTACATCCACAAACAAACATAATAATAAGCGATACTTGTTTGTCTATGCTGTATTATTGATCAAGATCATATCATAATGTTTTATATAAATATCTTGTTGAATAGGCATTATCCAAAATAGATAATAAAGCCGATTTTTAACACAATATTTAGATATATACTATGCAAGATTATCTTCTTTTATCTTTCGTAAAATTTTAAATAAGTTTAATGCATTATTTTTAAAATTATTCTTAAAATCCATCACATTAGCCCTCTGAAAATACTAGATAGCATTAGCTAAATCTTGGTTTAAGAATAGTTGATCAGTAAACTCATTTTGTAATAGTTATTTTAATATTTGTTGATTAATTCTATAAACAGTTTTAACATAGAACTCAATTTTATCTATTATATTTTAAGGGAATTGTCTATATATATTCGTGAAGATTGCTATATCAAGATTTAATTCATAACCATAATACGTAAGATTCAACTTAGTAATAGTTGAGCCTGGTAAATTTAATGGCCAACATATATTGGCAAAGCAGGTATAGTCAGTTTCGACAGATTTTCAATTATATTGTTAAGAAAGGTTTGTTGTACTTTTATTTGGTTGATATTTTCTGACATGGTAGCATTCAAACACATATTTGTAAACACTACAATTTTTATTAAGATACTTGTTTTCAATTCTCTATATAAAACCTTGTTGTTGTCTATGTGCCAATAAAACTAAATCAACATGATTTCAATTTTCAAATTGCATCTCAATAGATAACTTAGAGGCTTCTTCAAAAGCTTTTTCAGGTATAAAATGAGCTTCTATTGGCTGTCTTTTTCCAATTCTAGTTTATAAAGGATCCATCAGACAACAAAAAAAAAAATACTTAATGCTACATAAAAGTATATTCTGGTAAAGTCCTAGTATTGATTAAACAATAATAGCATATTAGATACTCGAATAATAAATGATAAAAATTATAAATTATATATGAAGAACTATATAATAAAAGATATCAATAAAATTATATATTATATAATCTCATTGATACCTTTTGTTATTACCCATATACATATGAGCATCACGAAAACAGATAATAATACAAATTTAATCTATAGTTTGTAATTATAATCAAACTAACCTAATCCACAATACAAGACAATTAAATATAAGTACACTACAAAAGGAAACACCATCTAATAATATTCAAAGTAGCTAGCTTAGTTTATTTCTTCGTATATGATATCTCTTGAACTGGGTAATGAATTCTATATATTTTAGAATACTGGCTTGAATATTAAAGGATACCAAAATGTTAAATGATACTAGTATGAACGTTAAAGAAGATTGGCACGAATGTTAAAGAAAACTGGTATAAATATTAAAAAAGGCCAACACGAATATTAAAAAATTAATATGAATATTTAATGCTAATATGATTATTGGGTATGATAAATGCTGGCGCGAAGGTTGGGTACAATGAATGGACATCTGGACAATATTGAACACCTGGTACAAATATTGGGTATAGCTATTAGGCATGAATTTTAGATATAAATATTAAACTAGAATAATGGATACTTGAACGAATGTTGAAATCTATAATGAATTTTGGGCACCTATTACTAGTACTCGGCACAATCAAGCAAAAAATTGATTTCAAATCTTTAATAGTTAATCATAAATCAAATCAGTAATAACTAATAATAAAATATAATATAAATATATTAATGCAAATGCTCCAATAATCAAATAGTTGCCCAAAAATCAAACCAAACAATCTGACAATTATTAATAATATTATCAATTAATTAAATAAATATCAGAGTAATTATCATTATTTTATTAATTTATTTTATATTTCATTTTATATTTTGCTTGGTATATTTTGCTTCATATTTCACTTTGTATTTTATATCATATTTTGCTTTATATTTTGCTTCATATTTCACTTCATTTCATATTTTGCTTCATATTTTGCTTCATTTTATATTTTGCTTTATATTTCACTTTACTTCTTATTTTGCTTTATATTTCGCTCACTTCATATTGTGCTTTATATTTTACTTCATATTTCACTTTATATTTTGTTTCATATTTTGCTTCATATTGCATTTCATATTTTGCTTCATACTTCACATCACATTTCATATAAATGAAGAAAAAAAGATAAAATTAAATAATAAAAATACAACATGATTCGTTCAACTTTGCTGATTACCTGCTTTACTTCAAAAAATTTTTTCACTCAATAATACGAATATTGATAGCTTAATATAGTTTTATATGTGGATCTTAACAGTAATGAAGATTTTTTAAATTAGTCAGAAAATATCAAAGACCAATATACAGCTAACCAAAACCTTTATTGTCAAAAAAAATCAAGTAATAAAGCTATTATTCAAGAAAAAAAGATACTGTATATAGACAACTATTTGCTAGTATTAAAAATTTTAAAAATATGAAAAAGCTAGATCTGTATTATTGGGCAAACTGGCATCTTATCTTTATTAACAGAATTCTACTATAAAGGCTAAATCATTATGATGTGAAACAAAAATTTAATTACAACCTGCATCAGTACAATGAAAAAAGTATAAGTTTTCTTAAGAAAATGTTGACCATACTATAATGAAAACATATATACAAAGAAAAACTTTTGAAAAAAATGTATAATTTATCAAAAAACATTAACATGAATAAACAAAATTAATAATGTAAAAGTTTTTAACCTTTTATAATTGTATACATATTATTATATATTGTAATATTTATGTGAAGTACATAATAAAAATAAATACAGTTATCCCTCGCTATAGTCACACTACTGATATAAAGATATTTTTAAAACTAATGAAGAAAATTAATTTTTTTTAATATTAAAAATTTTTTGTCAAGTTATAACAAAAAATTTTTAATATTAAAAAAATTAATATTTTTTATTAGTTTTAAAAATATCTTCATATCAGTAGTGTAACTATAGCGAGGGGTGACTGTATATGAAACTATATACTAAATCAAACTTCAAAATTTTTTTAGATATTCATTCTGAACTGTCGCATAATCATCTGGAGCACAACCTGGTATATATTTTTCAGATTGCTATGTATATACATATATCTAATAACTAATAAATTTTGTATAACATAATATAAATATATGTATTGATCTATCAAATATTAAAGTTATTTTATGATTTACCTATATATTACTTTAATTTTGAACATAATTTATTTTATGTATTCGCTATGTAAATATTTATTATCTCTGAATAAGTATAATTTATTATTGCTAGACTATTTGCATAACTTTATTTATTCATATATCATAAATTATATATTGGAAATAAACATATAGAAATATAGTTCATTTCAGTATTTGTTAGCATTCTCTTAACAACAATTTAGTCAAATAAACCTTTCATTTATGAAACTACCTAAACCTGCTCCCAAACAACATCCCTTCAAACATCACATTAAAACCCATAAATTGACTGTCTGCATTATTCTTTATGCACATTTGTCAGCATATTATTGCTTGCATAGTGAATAAAGAGTATCATTAATTATATGCAGTTCATATTTGATACTTATTAATAGGACTATGCAACAGGCTTGAATATATTTATATCACACTATTTTTTTTACATTACCTTTAGTTGACATTTAATAATCAACTTTGTATCACTGAGCTTTCTAGTATTACCAGACCAAAAAATTTCATTACTAGTATTAGTATTAGGATTTGTATACATATATTTGTTCTAATTTTAGATTACTCTTGATCTCAAAATTAATTTTACTAGATCACAAAATCTTTTAAATTAGTAATACTTAAACAGTTATATTACTATAAAAAATAGTATATACGTAGCTCCCAACTTATATATGACTTCTAGTAGATATATCAAAAATAATATAAAATTTTTTTTTCAAATAGTGCTATGTAAGCTATATTACTTTGTTTTTAGTAATATATATATATATATATCATAGGTAGGAATAAAATTTATGTTAATTCGGAATTTTTAAGGTTAGGGTTGGGATTTTTAATATAATTTTTCTAATTTAAGTAGATTCTAAGCCCTATTATAGTTCCATTCCTACTTATAACATATATATACTATTAAATTGATTGATTAATTAACTAACTGATTAATCAATTAGTTGATTAATCAATTAATAATTAATCAATTAATCATTAATTGATTAATCGATTAATAATTAATCGATTAATCATAATTAATCGATCGATCAATAAATGATTTTTTAAGAATAATCAACCAATTGGTTGGTTAGATTTTTTTGTTCTGTAATGCTAAAGATAGATATAAGTAGAGAAAGAAAGTAGTTAAAAAGATATCAAACCTTTTATAGTTTTACTAATAACAAATAAAAACTGTATATTTTAAATATATATTACCTTTTTCTAGTGAATTGTTTTACCTAAAATAATAAATTAATATCATATTTTACCTAAATAAACTTAAATTTTATACATTCAACATAGTCCTAATAGCTTCTGCATCTAATGCTTATATATATCAGAAAGGTCCAAGTCCAGTATGGCAATAGTTTGATCGTCTAGTTGAAGAATCAGGAAAGAGAAAAGCCAAATGCCAACTATACATAAAAGACAAGTATATTGTCATAAGCAATAGCGGCACTACAAACCTACATAATCATATTACAAAAGTCCACAAAATTAATATCTTAAAGACTACTAGTTTAGATTTCACTCCTCGGCCAGATAAACATATCCTTCGAGAAGCATTAGTTAAATGGTTTGCAATGGATTGCCTTCTATTTACTTCTATTAAATCAGAATACTTCTGTAAACTAGTTGAAGTAATTAGAAAATTAGAAGAAAACATTATAATTCCCTCAGCCAGAACAATAAAACGTGATTTATTAGAAAAATATTCAATACTAAAAATTATATTAAAAAATAAACTAGAAAATAATTTAAGTAAGATTTCTCTTACTACAGGCCTCTGGACTAGCAATAATTGCAAGGCATTTTTAGAAGTTACGGCACACTGGATTGATGAGAACTAGCAAATTCAATCTTGTATACTTGATTTGGCACCATTTGAAGATCCCCATACCAGAGTAAATATAGCAAATACACTGATTACTATTTGTAATGACTTTGGTATTACTAACAAAATTTTTAGAATACTTCAAGTAATAATATGTTTCTTGAAGCATTTGAAGAATTTTCTAATAATAATGGTAGTTCTTTCATTAAACGGCAAGATCATATTCATTGTCTTGCCCATATTATTAATCTTGCTTTGCAAGATTTTTTACACCATCTATGTTCTGAGGCCCCAGATCATAAAAATAATAAGCTTAATATTTTAAACCAAACCAAAACTTTTAATATATCTCAAACCTCAACTATTAAAAAACTTCAAAAGCTTATTGTTAAACTTCGGTCTTCTCCTCAGCATTATAAAAGATTAAGAGAATTGTATAAATCTCTTAGCATAAAATATATAAGTCCAATTCTTAACTTCAAAATGCAATAGAATTCAACTCTTCATATAATTGAACATGCTATTAAAATATTATTAGCAATTAACAGAATAGTTAATAAAGTTCTTGAACTAAATATCCTTAGTCTTTTGCCAAGAGAATAGAATATACTAGAAGAAATTTTATTACCTTTAAAAGTTTTTTGTGATATATCCAAAATATTGTGTAGTGAATCGTATATTACAATGCTTTTTGCCATTCTAGTATTTAACTTAATCATAGATAATCTTGAAAAGATGTTAGAAAAAGGGTTATTTTCAATAATTAATAAAGCTATTGAAGTAGCACATGAAAAATTAAGGCTTTATTATATCAAAAGTGTCAATCTAATATATGCTATGACAACCCTATTAGATCTAAGAATAAAGAAAGCATTTTATGAAATAAGTGATTGGGAGGATAAGTAGATTAATTAGGCAATCAAAAGTCTAAACGATATATATGATCAATATACAGTACTAGAAACAGATTCAAAAATTTGTAATTCTAGTATTAGTAGTAGTTCTCTTAACTATATATTTAAGAAACTTCGTCGTTCTGCAAACACAGATGAAATTAATTCATATTTTAATAGTTTTTAGGCAAGTTCTAATATGAATATATATCAATAGTAAAAAATATATGCTGCAGCATTTCCAAAATTAGTATTAATAATACGTGATTATCTTGCTATACTAGCAACAAGTGCTTCATTTGAGATACTATATCTACCGATTTGGTTTCACTTCAAAATTAACCAATCATGATCAAGAATTATTTGCTATTAAAATTTATTACAAAGTGAATTTTTATAACAATGGTCTTTTAAACTTACTTTTAATCTATAATAAAGTATATAGAATATTTTAATATCTATATGTTTAATTATTAGCTAAAAGTAAGTTGAAAAGGTAGTTTTTCTGAAAATTGCCTTCGAATTTACCCTTATCTATTATACAACCAATCATTCAATGACAAACCAATCTTTCACTATCCGAAAATATCCAAATGCTTCAAACAACTAGTGATAGTGCTTCCTTTACAACTTGGTGTAGCTGTTTTTTGAATATTTATTGCTTATTTAACTCATATAGAGACCAAAAACTATTTTATTTGAAGGTTTTATTTGTTATTTTTCACGTCACTTAATAGCAGAAGTTTGTATAACAGTTTATCAAAAAAGATCCCTAAAAATCAAATCGGTGGATATGCTTTTTTCTAAAGCCTCAGGTATGGACAGTGTTGGCCGATGACATAGGTCATAACATTTTTTCGATATGACCTTGGTCATATAATCATATGACTTTTTGGTCA